TTACTCTCAAAACAAAAGACGTTCAAACGTCCCAAATTGCATAAAATCCAATACTTTACCCCAAACCACACCCCACATTCCTTGCTTTTGGTTCACTTCTGAACTTCATTTTTACCCACTTGAGTTGCCCGAGCCCGTGTGCAGAAACGCCCCCTGTCCTGACGGAGGGCTCGGTGCCCCGTAGCTCTGAATAAACATGTCTCATTCCCGAGCCTGGTGCGGCACGTGGCGGGGGCGGAGGGGTGCGAGGCTGTGCTCGGCTCCACTGTGGGCCCGTCCCTGCCAGGATCGGGGTGAGCCGACCCCACGTGGCAAGGCATCACCCATCCGGCCTCCCTGCTCCCCAAAAGGGCTGGGTGAGAGCATTTATTCTGCCTTTTCCCCGCCGGGGATGACATTCAAATGTACAATGTATAACCCACAGTGGCGCCTTCCACCCGCTCCTGCGATGATTGTGCTGTGATTATTAAACACTTCATAAATAATAATGTGACATTTCACGACTGGTGTCTGATTAACTGGCCCTTCTTAGCAGCCTGCGTCGGTGGGCAGCTGAGGTTGCTGAAAACACAATTCCACAGGGTCCTCAGGGACCAGGAGTCGGGCCACCAATTAAGTGCCACTCGGGCAGGGGGAGCCTCCCCAGCCACAGTCTGAGTCCCCGACATGCCCACCCAGCCAGGTGGACAGCCTGAGCAGCCCCAGGAGCCATCACCTCTGTGCAGGGCCGGCCCTTCCTGCCCGCCCCCTTCCCCAGGAGACCCCAGGCCCTCCCTCCCTCCCCTGCCTCAGGACTTCCATTTGTGATCAAGAGCACAAGGGCCGCTCCACCCCGACCAGCTGCCCAAGAGATGTAAACCAGACGCCACAGCCGTCCCTGCCCCAGGTCCCCCTGGGCCTGCACCTCTGAGCAGCCCGTGTGGGGAACCCCACACACTGTCTACCGAGAGCGACAGGCCAAACCAGGTGGCCTCACGCCTGACCACTGCCCCTCGTTCTAGGTCTCGGTGAGGATGCCTGGAGCTTGCACATGCACTGGGTGCCGCCACGAGCCACAAACCAACACAGACAAGGGGCCCACTGTCCGGATCCACCCTGTGAGGCCCACGCCACTGCCCCACGGTGAAGACGAGGCCCAGGCTCAGCGAGGGGCTGTCGGCGCCTCGTGAGCACGAACCGGACGGAGCTGGGGGCCCTGGCTCAGCTCCCGCTAGAACGGTGAACCTAATGTGTCCTGCATAGTCCACCGGGGGTCCTGCCCCTCCTCCAGCCTCTTCACATTGTCCCAGGTCCCTTCCCACCCGCCCTGTTCCAGGCAGAGGGACCAGGACCCCCAGTACCATGTCAGTAGTTGCCAAACCCCCACCGGGCTCAAGGGTCACCTCCTGTGGGAGCCCCCTGGGCACCCTGACCAGTCAGGCCCCACCTGCCCGGCTCCTTCCCAGCGCTGGTCATTTGCCAATGTGCTTCTGGTCACAGGAGGGCTCCTGCTGACCCTCGGGGCTGCCCTGAAGGCAGGGCAAACAGGGCAACAGAGGCTGGGTGGCTTGGCCTGTGAGCAGTGGCCACGCCCAGACCAGCTGGGGAGCCCCAGGGGGCATCACCTGACTCAGTCCATAGGCCCTATGCCCGAGGCTCTGCCAGGCCAAGGGCATACCCACCACAGGCCGAGGGGCAGCCACGCCAGGCAGAGGGGCAGCCACCACAGGCCAAGGGGCACCCACGCCAGGCAGAGGGGCAGCCACGCCAGGCCAAGCAGCACCCACGCCAGGCAGAAAGCCAGTGCTCAGATGCTGAGGGCTCTGCCTGTGTGACGGAGAAGCCCTTCCCGAGGGCCAGGCCCCCGACCCTGAGGATTGTGTGTTAGCAGATGCCACGCCGCTTTGGGGGGCCAGGCCCCATGGCAAATGCTGCCCCAGGCACTCACACCTCCCAGGGTTTTCCTGGCCCCCAGTCTGGATGGCAGACCAGGGACCGAAGCCCAGACTCCCGTCCAGTGCTCCCCCCTCCACCACGCAGCCCTAGACCTCCCACGGGCCACCACAAACACCTGCGTTTATGTCCTGGGCCCACATTCAGCCAGCACCCAGGATGTTCCCCACAGCCGTACGCCTGACAGTCTGAGGTTTCCCGTGAGGAAGGGTGAAGAGAGCAGGACGAGAAGGTGGGCTCACTGTCCCTTTGGTGGGAAGCCTGCACTTAACCGAGGGTGTAGCTGCTCATCTTCCCTCACGGCCGACCACGAAGTATGCATCTGTCCTCATCACGCCTCCGTGCGGAGCAGCTTCAGACCGTCCCCGCAGGGTCAGCACCCTCCAAGGAGAGAGCAGGGAGCTGCGGGGCAGGTGCGTCCAGACAGCCCACCCACAGGAGCTCAGGACACTGCCCCGGCCCTGTGAACATGTGTGGAGGACGGCATCTGCACACGTCCTGTGGCCCCGATGTCCAGCCCAGGCTGAGAAGTGGATGAGCAGGGGGAGAGGCTTGGCGGGGCAGGGCGGGTGTGCAGGTACATGTATGGGCCTGGGCCTGCGGGAGGAGACTAGAGATTCAAAAGGCTTGTGTGTGGGGGGGTGTGGGGGCGGGGGCTCTGGAGCGTTTGGAGAGTAACCAGAGACGGCAGAAATCATCACAAGCACGGGGTTCCCGCTCAGGTCTCCCTGTGAACACGGTGGAGACAGCCTCTCGTACTGGACAGGTCCCCCATCTACTGTGAGAATCAAGATTCATAAAGATGCAGAAGTCGTGTTTCAAAGGAGGGCACCTGCCCGGCTGGTGTGGCTCAGGGGTTGAGCATCGACCCCTGCACCGAGAGGTCGCTGGTTCGGTTCCCGGTCAGGGCACATGCCAGGTTGTCTGATCCCCAGTGGGGGGCATGCAGGAGGCAGCCAATTGATGTTCTCTCTCTTCGATGTTGCCATCTCTCTCTCCCTCTCCCTTCCTCTCTCTCTAAAATAATAAAGAAAAGAACTTAAAAGGAGGGCATCCCACCCCCAGGAATTGAACACAGAGCGGGTTGGGGAGCATGGTGTGTTTTCTGGTTGAGCAGGGCAGGTGACCATCGCGCCTCCCTCAGGGCCAGGGCCTGTCCCCCCACCCCAGGACGGTCTGGGAGAAGCCAGCTCAGGCCTGGCCCCTGAATTTGCACTGAGCTCTGCTGTCCCCACCCCGCACCTGGCAGGTGTCTGAGGCCCTTGGAAAGGGGTCCCCAGAGCACAGCCTTCATGGTGGCCTCCGCACAGGCCCAGGTCTGGTGCTCACTGGACTAGATCAGCCTGGATTCTTGTGGAAGCAGGAGGAGGTTCTGATGTCGGGGTGTCGATCCCTGGAGGGGTGGCAGTCACCAAACCACAAGGGCCAAGAGTGAAGAATGTGACTCAGGACAGAATTTCCAGGCCAAGAGAATGCAGATGCTGGGAGGGAAATGAGGTGCCTGCTTCCTCTGGGGGCACACCTCCCTGAGAGTAAATTCAGCACAGAACAAGGCAGAGCTGAGAGGTGAGAGCGAGCAAGTCGTCGTACCATCAGCCGGGCACCTAGATCCAGCTGTGCCTGAAGCCATCCTTGGTTCACAGAACAGAAAACTCTTGAGGTCCCTTTTCCTCTAAACCAGCTTGACTTAGTCAGGATTCCTTCCTTCGCAAGGGGTCCCAGCAGACAGTGGCTCGAAGGGAAGCTGGGCAGGTGCGCGGTTAGCACTGGGAAGCTGAGGTCACCACCGAGTCACCGCCCTGCACACAGATCTCTGGGCCCTGGTGCCCTCACCCTGCTCACTCTCTGCTGTTCAAACCTGCAGAAATGGAGGAGGGGCAGCGTGTCCTCTCAGAGACCCATCCCTGTGCTTGGGGGTCTGGCAGGAGAACCCCTCTGTCCGCCGGACCTCGATAAATAGCAAACACCCACTTATGGAAGAAGTGGGCCATCCGCCTCCCTGCCCCAGCAGGGGGGTCTCTCCTCCCGACTGACCCTCAAGACTCCAGCCAACAAACTGCTCCTAACCAGTGTCACTCCCGTCTTCTTAACAGGGCCACACGCCACTGTTTAGTGCCTGGGGTATCTCCTTTTTAAATTTTATGTGTATGAATATTTCACCTCAACCAAGTACAACATCATTTGTGCAAGAACGTGGGAGCCTAGGAAATAAGAACCAGTAACAGACAAGGTCCCATCAAGGCATCTCCCAGGCAGCCAGCAGGTGGCGGCATCTGACCAAAAAACGACGCGGCTCCCGCGGTTTCAGGAGCTGTGCCAGTTCCCCAACACGCCAGGTGGGCCTCACACATCCCACCCGCCGGACACTCACCCCTGCCTCCCGTCCTTCTCTGAACTGTTCTTGGTGACCTGGCCGTCCAGAGCCCCTGCTCGCTGTTGGGGAATTTAGACATTCCCATGGTAGGCCTGCCGGGCACTGACCACATGAGGATCTCTGGGCTGGGACCCAAACACTGGTTTAATTTAATCTCCCCAGATGCTGCGGACCTAGGACCACACCACGGCAGGCCAGGACTCTGCTCCAGGCTGTGTACTGAAAGCCAATCTCTTCATGCCTTTGGCTTCACCTGACCCCCACCTAACATTTCCACGTCCCCACAAATGGGGACACCTCCCTGGGTGGTTCAAATGCCCCACAATTTGTCCACAGCGTACCCTCCCCCTCAACCCTGGTCCCCCTGAGTCCCTGAGGTAGGTCATTGGTCCCCAGCTGGCCATCTGCCCCCAAGGCTCGTGTGGGCCTCAGGGTACCTGTGGAGTGGCCCCCTGGTTTCCATGTCCCCTTTCACCCCTGGAGGGACAGCCAAGAGGAAGCGCCCCCAGCCCCTGCCCACAGCATTGAAAATGCTCCCCCCAGCGACTGCAGCCCCAGCCGGCCCCTGGTACCTGGCCGTGCAGCACTGGGCGCCAAGGCTCGGGAGGTGGGCCCGCGGCTGCTCCGCACCGACTCCGCCTGGCGGCCCGGATGCCCTCGGTGTGCCGGGCGTTCCCGGCTAGACCCTTGCGCAATGCCAGAGGCGGCTCTTGCAAGAGAGGCCGAGGACCAGACGACTGAAGCGGGTGTCCACGTGGGACGACAGCACTTTGTGGTGGCGACCTCCGGGGTGGCAGGAAGCAGCAGCGGGGGACACAGCCGAGAAGCGGGGAATGCGATTGTGGGTCCCGCTGCCCCTACCCCATCTCCATTCAGACCTCCAGCCCCTCTGCCCCTGCGCTCCCCCTGCCTCTCTGCCTGTCTGAGCCGCTGGTGGAGCCGGGCTCGGTCACTAGGTGCGCTCTGATTGGACGACCGCGAAGTCCCAGCGGGCGCCTCCACACCTTAAAACCCGAGTGGGGCGAGTAGACGCTAGAGCCCGCCCCGGGCCCAGCCCTGCGCGCCACAGCGAGGAGGGGAGACGAGAGGAGGGAGAGGAGGGGGAGGAGCAGAAGGCGGGCCCGAGGCGGGCCAAAGAGGCCCCGAACGCGGAGGCTCAGGGACCGACAGCCAGCCAGACGGACGCGCGGAGCCCGGAGCATCACCGCGGCGGCGGCAGCGGCCGACTCTGGAGGGCTTCGGGGGCGGCGAGCCCTCGGGCCCCGGCGGCGCGGCCATGGCCGAGCTCAAGTCGCTGTCGGGGGACGCGTTCCTGGCGCTGAGCCACGGCTACGCAGCGGCGGCGGCTAGCCTCGCCCTCGGGGCGGTCCAGGGGTCCGAGGCCGGCCGCGGCTACAGCGCGCCGGACCTGGGCGGCGAACTCCCCGCGGCGCCCGCGCCCGGCACCCCCGCCGCAGCGGCCGAGAGCAGCGGCGAACAGAGTGGCGACGAGGACGACGCCTTCGAGCAGCGGCGGCGGCGGCGGGGTCCCGGGGTCCCGGCAGACGGGCGGCGGCGGCCCCGCGAGCAGCGCTCGCTGCGGCTCAGCATCAACGCGCGCGAGCGGCGGCGCATGCACGACCTGAACGACGCGCTGGACGGGCTGCGCGCCGTCATCCCCTACGCGCACAGCCCGTCGGTGCGCAAGCTCTCCAAGATCGCCACGCTGCTGCTCGCCAAGAACTACATCCTCATGCAGGCGCAGGCCCTGGACGAGATGCGGCGCCTCGTGGCCTACCTCAACCAGGGCCAGGGCCTGGCCGCGCCCGTGGCCGCCGCGCCCCTGGCGCCCTTCAGCCAGGCCACCGCGTACCCCTTCTCGGCGGGCGCCGCGCTGCCCTGCGCAGACAAGTGCGCCGTCTTCCCCGGGACTCCCTCGGCGCTTTGCAAACACTGTGACGAGAAGCTGTGAGGGCCCCGGGCTGCCCCCTGCTTCCGCAGACCCTCCATTTCACATTGCCCACGATGACGGCGTCACCCCCCCTTCCGGACCCCGCCCTCGCTTCCAGCCCGTGCGCGCTGAACAGCCTGGGGCCACGGGAAATGCAAAGCCCGTCGGACCCGGAGCTGAGCTTTGAGTGGGGCCCTGGAATCCACGCCGGAGAGTCTGCAGCATCCGTCGGGCACCTTCCCGACGCCCAGCCATGGAGCCCGGGGCCGCAGCGGAGGTGACCACCAGTGCTTTTCGAGGCGCCGCTGCTCACCCTCAGCCAGAAAACCAGGGCTGCAGGGGGAGCGGGAGGTGGCACCACCCGTTCTCAGCAACAGCCCGGGGCTCGCGGAGCACAGCGACCGAGGGTACCGCGCTTGGCGGGCATGGCCCTTGCCTTAGGGCGCATCCTCATTCTCCCATCGGCCCCTCTCGCCAAACTGCAGGACCGCGCTCTGGGTGGGCGTGATCGGGAAGAAGCAGGACGCCCGGCGCCTCTGCCGGCTCCACAACCCTGCGCCCCCGGCGACGCAAGAGGAGCCCGGCGTTTCGGCTTCCTCAAGTCTGAGTTTATGTTTATTTTCTTGCCAAACTAGAGGTGCTAACCTCTAGAGGTGGACGCCAAGGACCGCTGCCTCCAAGCGTAAGGAATTTGTCCCTTACACAGTCCCTGGACTCCCCAGGGTGTGGCCCTGGTGGAGTTGGATGGAGACTGCCCTTCACCCTCTGCTTCAAGGCAGCTGCGTGGAGGAGTTCGCCCCTGTGCCCCTACTTGGCCATGGGGTGTGAAGGGAGGACCCGGTCTAGCTCCAGGGCCTGGCAAAACCCCTTTCCCACTAACCCCCCTCTTCCCGCTCTTTGGGGGAAGGAGGCCTGGCCACCGGTGAGTATGCTGAGGGGGCCTTGTGAACGGTGGGGAGCGTCTGTGGGGAGCGTGTCTCCTTTCTGTCGGTGTGCAGCTCAGAATTCTGCCACCATGGGGTCCAGCTCCGCACACAGCCCTGCCGGCGCCCTGGGGGCTGAGCTGTGCGCCCAGTTTGTGCCGGAACCGCTCTGCTACAATATCTGGCTTTATTAACCCAATTTCCTCGGCTGTCGTTAATGCTATGCTAATGGGGAGAGGGCTGCCGCCCTACAAAGCGGCCTGTCTATAGCACTTATCTTTAATTAATACATTTCAAAGGCCCTTTTATATTTGCAAAATGAAATGTGTGGTTAAGTCTTACTCATAAAGACATATGCTTAATACCGGTTTCTGCTCATTTCCATTTTCATTTTTCATTGTCTTCCCCCCCCTCTCAACCGGCTAATTGATCAGTTTTGCAATGTAGAGCTGAGGGTTGGAAAGTGTTTGGAATCCCCTTCAGGTAACTGGGGACGGGACAGCTGCGAACTCAAGGTGGTTGGTGCGGGGGTGGGGTTGGGGTGGGGGTCATCTCTAAGTGATTCTGATCAACTTGGCAAGTTCCTTACAGTCTGAAACAGAGTTGCTCATTCTGATCAAGACCACCCATGTTTAGTACATAGTTCGTATTCAGAATAAAGTATTTCATGTCAACCTATTTGTTTAAATATGGTTACATTTTGATATCAAAGTAACACTGTTCATTTGTGACAGATCAGTTTCAGTTTTCAGATGTTGTGTCTGCTTGGGCCAGTGCTTTGGAATTGTCTGAGGTGTGGGCACTCATCTGTAAGCAACGGGTATGTGAAATGACCAGAAAAGGTGAAGGAAAAAAAATCTCTCTTGGGTGAAAAATAACAATTTTTAAGAGAACCATTTAACTGTTATAAACTCCTTTAGTAACTTCAGTAAGGTTAAATTAAATTAGAGCTTCTTTTTTGTTTTGTTTTTTGTTAATCCTCACCCGAGGATGTTTTTGCATTGATTTTTTTAGAGAGAGTGGAAAGGAGGGAGGGAGGGAGAGAGAGAAACACCAATGTGAGAGAGACACATCAGTTGGTAGCCTCCCACACACACCCCGACTGGGACCGGGGATCAAACCCAAAAGCCAGGTACATGCCCTTGACCAGGAATCGAACCTGAGACCCTTCGGCGTGAGAGCCAGCGCTCTAACCACTTAGCACACCAACCAGGGCTCAAATAAAAACTTTTAAAATTTCTAAGCTGTTTATCTACTGTCCCCCAATGTCAACATGCTTTTCACTGGGGTTGGGCGGGTTGTTTCTCAGTAGTGTCACTAAGCAAGCAAGCGGGTCCCTCAAAATATATATCATTTGGCATCCCCCAAATTTGTACCATAAACTCCCCATTCTAGGACGACCCAGACACCAGAGAACTTTCTCAGCACAGAAGCCTGGCCCTCCACGGTCCTTGTGCCCCAAATACAACCACCCGGAGGAGCGCGTTTCAAGCCGAGACCCTCTGGGAACATCGGCTCGGGGCTCTGTCTGCTCCAGGGCTGTGCTCCTTGCAGGGGTGGTGGCCACAGCTGTGAGTCAGCTTGAAGGGACCCGCCACTACCTGCCCACCTGAGCCCACACCTCTCCCTCCCGTCCGAGGAGTGACAGGGAGAGCTTCAGGTACGGTCCGGATTTGAAATGACCTTTGCATGACGCTCCTGCTTACATCCGACTTAGGTGGGACAGGTGCACCTGCTACAGTGAGGACACGTCCCCTGCCCTTTAAACCAGCGCTGTCCCTACAGACAGCACCTGCCACGTGTGGACTGTTACATTTTCTAGTGGTCAAGTAAATCGATGAATTAAGTAAAGTTTAAAACAATGAATTTCACCTACACATTTCAATGATACCTTGTCTTTGTCCCAACATGTCATCGGTATTATTACACTATTAATGAGATAATTTATTCTTTTCCCACGTGAGGTCTTCACAATCCAGAGTGTTTGCACATCAGAACCGGCCCATGGCAGGTGCCCCGTGGCCACAGGTGGCTCGTGGCCAGCTCAGTGGACATCGCAGCTCTAGCTTGAAAACGCAAATATATGAAGTGCCCATGTTTCCTTTGCTTTAATAAAAATTAACTGATTCAGGGACTAAATCCTAGAGCTGGGCAAACAGGAAAGGCCTATGCTTGTCACGCTTTAACCCTGGCTCACCAGGTCTAGCCGGGGCAGCCAGAGGAGCCACATCCCTTTCTGCCCAGCAGAGGTGGCCGAGTGCCCACCTGGCCCCTGGTTCCATGTGCCACCCAGCATCACAATGGCCAACCACACCCAAGCCTGGGGCCAGCGTAGGGCAACTCTGGGTCCTTCCACTCAGGCGAGGGGCTGTGTTGAAGCCAGCGAGGACTTCCTCCTTGACTAACCACCAGAACAGAGGGCCCCGCGGCTAGGCCAGCCTCACTCCAGCCCAGGCCACAAGCCCAGGAAGCCAAGACCATGGGTGCCTGGGGCAGGGGACTCCATCGGGGTCCCTTGCCAGGTCAGGAGAGGCCAGCGGCCCAGCCAGGCCCTGCACCCCATTTTCATGAACTGACAGGTGTGCCCGCTGGCCCCAGGGCACCCCCACTTGCCAGGTGGAAATAGAAGACGCATGACTGAACAAGGTAGCTATGGGAACGAGCGGCCGCCCTTCCTTCCTCCTTTAAAACAACCCCCTGCAGACGGGTTTCCCCCGTCCCCTGGGTTCGATGCCCTGTGGTCAGTGCGGCCCACAACCTGCTCCTCTGCCTGCACGAAACCAAACCGCTTGCCGAGAGTTTTCCACCTGCTGGGTGAGACTCGGTTCTCAGGTGCCCTGGATCCCGGACACTCCGAGGTCTGTTTCCCCAGGTGGGAAACATGCTCCCCTAAAACCACGCCCCTGCTTTTCTGTAATCAAATTTGGCACCAAGCTTAGGCCAGAACTCAGCCCCGATCTGCCTCTGCCCCCAGGGGCACCCCAGCATCACGTCATCCAACCAGCCCGCACGGGTTCGAGGCGGATTCACGGACCAGCCACACTGTCTCCGAGGGTTTGCTCCTGGTGACTTCTCCCCCGAGACAGGCTTGCTCTGGTCTCAGGCCGGCGTCAGCCTGCTCGGGGCGCCTGCCTTTGCTCACGAGGAAGCTGCTGAGCACCCCGTCTAGACCCCCGCTTTGCCAATCCATGTCCCCTTCCCTTGCAGGTGGGAACCTTGAAAGCAGAGGCACCTGCTGGTTCAGGACAAGCCCTGTTTTCCTAAAAGGACAGTGAGATGCCGCCTGGCCCCACCCTTGGCCGACGGAGGGGACAGCGGCCGGAGCCCAGCAGAGGCTCCTGAGCCCCGGTTAATCCGGCTGAGTGATTACAGCAATTTGTCATGTGAATTTGCTTGTGATATGTTTTTAGTCTTTAATCGCTTTTAGCATCCCATTTGAAGGGATGGAAGTAGAGGGATTTACAATGTATTAAATTATTTCTGCAACAATTACCTCTATGGACTCAGAGCTCTGGATATTATGTTACCGTTTCCCAGCGGAAGTCTGCTCAGTAAAGTCAGAAAGTTAATACACCTTTGCAGACTTAACCCCAAAGGGGCAAACCCCACGCGCCCACACATGCAGAAAGGCTCAACACGTTAGCAAAGCTAGCTTTGGTTCCAGGGTTTTTGCCTGTTTTAAAAAGTGGTTTGTGCTGGTCCCAGCCTGGGCGCCCGGGGCACGCGTCTTCATACATGTGTGTAAATGCTGCGGTGGGTGTGCTCTCTGAGTGGGAAGACGGCCAGGGTTGTTCTCAGGGTAACGAGCAGGGCAAGACGCTCTGAATGAACCGAGGCTTCTGTTCTCTCGTGGGCAGCTCTTGGTCAGGATGCACAAGTTCAGGGGCCTCCGCCTGCGTGTCCAGGGGGCACCATCATCACTGTGGGCCTGGCCGACGCCCTACGACACTCAGGGCCTCCTGGGGTGCCCCCGCCCGGCACTGCCCCGGGGACAGGAGCAGGATCCTAGCTGGAGGAGCTCACCTAGACTGCAGAACGAGCCTCCCCAGCCCGTGGTGTCTGAGCGATGAGTCCACAGTTGGCTGCTCTCTCAGGGGTCCTGATGCGGCCTGACGGGAGCCCGGTCTCCCCCATGCCACCTGGACGGCCCTCTCTAATGAGGCCGTGGCCAGTCTGGGAACTTGGCCTCAAACCCCGAGACAGCAATGGGATCGCGCCGCTCTCCGAGGGCCACAAGGCATCTGACAGGACGCATTTCTGCCGCCTGCATGCAGCCTGGCTGGCTCTCTGCGCCCCAAGCGGCATCCGCAGCCCGCCCGGCGCTCTCCTGCTATTTGACCCTAGTCAGCAGGAAATCTCAGAATCCCCGCGAGTGACGGGCCTCTGCCTCTCAAACAGGACACAGAGCCTTCCGTTCCGGCCCAGGGAACACTGGGCATGAGTCCAGGCTCTGCCCAGCCTGCCTCTGCCCAGGGGTTCCAACAGGGCCACAGCCACCAGACCAGTGGCTCAGGTGCTGGGCCTGCTGTTCGGGTGGGAGCCAGGTCTCTGCCCAGTCCCCCCGGGTCCCCAGAGGGTTTTGTGTAGAGCAAACTGGCAGGGGACCAGCTCAGGAGTGGAAACACCCACGAGTTTCAGTAGCGGGGTTGCAGGAACCCCACTATCTGTGAGTCTGCTGGTGCCACGGGGCCCGGGAACCCAAATGCCGATGGGAGAAACCAGCTGCTCAAGCATGTCGCCCACCAGCCCCGTTGGGCAGGACCAGATGCCCAGCGTCCCTCCTGGCTCTCAGCTGAGTGTGAACTCCACAAAGACAGCGCCTTCACTTCAAACATCACCAGCACGTGGGGAGATGTTCACGTTATACTCAGGAGTCCGGGTCTCCAGAGAACACGAAAAGCCGTGTGCCAACTGCCCAGACCCGAAAAGAACTGCTTGTCACTTCCCTCTGACTCGTCCCTCAGGGCGGGGTCGGCGCCCCGGTCAGAGTGAGCGGCTTCCTCCGGAGGGTTGTCAGCTCCTTCCGCCACCTCAGCAACTTCGGTGCCACATGGCCTGCACCCCGGCCCCCAGGGCACCCAGCGCACCTGTCTCCTCCTGCTCTCCGAACCTCTCTGCCTCCCACCCCGACCCGCAGCTTCTGTTGGGAAGAAAACATGTTGGCAGCCCTGCCCTCCCTGGGCGGCCCTCTCCCTGACCATCACACATGGCAGGTTGGGGTCCCCACATGGGGCTGTTGGGGTCTGGCTGAGGGCAGCCCGGCTGGTCTGCGAGGGGAGACTGATCAGGGGAGCCGCTGATGGGCACCTTCAGCCCAGCCGGAGCCAGGGGGACACCGGGCAAGAACAGGCTTGGCCACCACTCTGCCTGCCCGAGTGTCCCCTGGACACGTGTGTGAGCATGTGTGTATGTGTGCACACACGTGTGCATTTTCACACATGCATGCATGTCATGTT